GTTATATGTTAATTTATCGATGATACATTGATATAAAAGTTAAAAAGTTTTGGAAAAAATTCCGAGATCCAAATATATTTAAAAAAAAGTCTTTAGAGGAAATCAACAATAATTTATATATATTTAATAATTAATTAATAATAAAAACGACTGTTTCATGGAATGTAAAATTGTGCATTACGTCACGAGTTTAGCACAAAAAAAAACTATTTCCGCGTGAAAAGTATAAAAATTCAATAATTTAAAAATGATAGTATTTTTTTTCTATATATGCTTTTATCTTTTAAATAACAAAATATTCTAGTTGAAAAAATATTGCTGATAATTTGGGATCACTTTTTTGTTTTTTACGGAAAACCTGTCTTGGGCCAACCACAATTTGATAACATAGATACATGCTTCATGGTTGCAATTTGAAACACTTATTAATGAAATATTTTTGTAAAGCCTGTGAAATTTGTAATACTTCAACCTTATATAAATATGACAATCAAAAAATTATTTTCTGTACTTCTACCTATGTTATCAAATATGATTTCAAACTTGGCATGTTTAGCACTAAATTTGTTTTTTGCGTGAATTTTTGTTTATATATTGAAACAACGACGTATGTTACGTATCGTAACCTTAGTATGTTACAAAATTTCATTTTGGTCTTTTAATTAGGCTTTTATCAACTTTGTGAATTTCTCTTCACAAACTTAAATATTTTTAAATTATGTCTTTAACATCTTTAATATTGATAAATATATTTAACTCCAGTCAAACTTTTTTTTTTTTAATAATATTTGGCGATTTTATTGTCTGACTTTAATAACCCCTCTATCGATTCACATTAAGTTTAAGTAAAGTTTTTTGCTCTAAAAATGTTTGCTGAAAATGTTTAGTTTATATATTAAACAACAGAAATGTTTTTTGATTATTTTTGCTAAAAGTTAAGATTAAACTTTATTTTCGTAATTTCAGCGCGTTTATTCAAAAATCAAAGAAACATTTGATACTTTATTGAATGTTAAAAGATAAAACATTTTATTGGTGTTTATATTCTTTTTACAGAACAAAACTATCTGTAATATTTCATAAGTTATAAAAGTTTTCGTAACACCCCTTAAGTGAATAATTTGACAAAATTACAAAAAGCCGTATGTCTACCTTAAAACAGCCGTGACATGTCACCAATTAAAGGCTTTAATAAAGTATAGACAATTTTAATCAAACTTCTGTTCTAATCAAAAGAGGAAGTGCAAGTCAAATAAATTGCAAGATAATAATAATAAGTTTCATAATATAGAAAACGAGCTTGACGACATAATTACAACACAATTATAAACTTAGAAGTTGTAAAGGCAATCTTTATTGATTGTAAATGTAGTGAATGTTGTTCATTAAATGGTGGAAAATTATTACTTAAAGACATATTAAAAAATAAAAATGGGTTCTCATCTGAGTTACCGTTATCATGTGATATGTGTAAGTTCTTTGCAAAGTTTAATGCACCTTTTTCAAAACTTAAACCAAATTTAAACTCTCTTGGAAAACCTGTTGCTGCTGTAAAGTTTAATGTTATTGTAGCTTTTAGAGAACTTGTAAATTGTTATAAATCTCTGCATAATGTTGCAGCATTAATGAAAATGCTACCACGTTTTGTCTAACGTCAAATACTGCTTGTGGCAGTCTAATAAACTAACAAGCTTATTTAAATACAAAACAAAATTTATCAAAAGCAAAGTATATATCTACCAACAAAAACCAGGTAAGGAGCCAGAAGCCGAGAGGAATTAAAAAATTATTCTTGGATAAATAAGCAGAAGTAGAACCAGTTCTTTTTTATAAATCTGGAGCATTTTATTTGTAATTTTGTCTTTAGATTATCTCCATAATAGATTTGTAATTTTGTCTTTAGATTATCTCCATAATAGATTTAAAGCAAATCAGATAAAGTTAAAAAAGGATACCTCCAGATAAGTTTATTCTTTTTCTTCGAAATTTTCGCAGTTTGTTCAAAAATATAAAGAAGAAGACTGGTAGCAGAATAAATATTTTGCTTGATTATAAGTTTAGATTTTTGTCATCACTCAACAAGACCTTCCCAGTAAAACTAGAAACTATTATGGCAATGCCTATAACTTTAGAAATATACCAGTAAAACAGATAAAACTGATAGGTACCTAAGTTAAAATATAAGTAATTGAAATACCAAAGGGTACTAAAAAAAGATGTTTACTTTCTGACATATCTTTTTTTAAAACAACATGCTAAAACAGAAGAAATGTTGAATAAATGAGGTAAAATTTTAATTTTTTTTTTTTTTTTTTTTTTACTGCTCATTTAAAGTAAAATACAACATAAGTTGACTAATTTGAAAAATGAAAATTCCTTATTAAAGAAATTTATTTGAATTGGGGTTGACCACCTTAAACTATTGAGTTGACTAAAACATTAGATAAACATTAAAAATATAATTAAATACATGCATACGTCTTTACTCATGGTCATCATGAGAAAATGGCAAGAGGCTACAACATAAGTTGAGACCATTTAATAATCGATGACTTTCTTTTAAATTCAGAGATTTTTATATTTCATAAAAGTTATCTAAAGTCAAAGAAATATTTATCATTTAAGTGCAAAAAAAAAAGACTTATTTTTATTGATCCATTTTAAAAGAGAACGCACGGTTTATAAATTTAGTTAAAAAAGTTTGTGTAAAGTTTTAAAACATGAAATGACTTAAATTACAACACGATGTGAATAGCTTATTATTTTTTTTTTTCTTTATTTCCGGTTATAATGTCTTATTTTATGCTGTTACTTTGAAAAAACAAACAACGTTTTTTCAAGCATAGAGGCCAGTGGCAGACGAAGGGGTTTTGGGGCCTGAGGCTGTTTTAAATCAGGGGCCGTAAACTGACATATTACTATAAAAAGGAAATAAGAAAAAAAATTCTTCTGAAAAAGATAATGAAAAAAGGTCTTATTACTAATACTATGTAATTTATACCAATTTTTTTATTTTGTTATTTTAATTAAAGTCCTTTTTCTGCCAAGTAATTCAAATTTTACTTTTTATGTTTTTTGAAAATGCGAAAATTTTGTTCTAATTATCTACTAATACACATTAAAACTTAAAACTTTATTCTTTTGATTTGAGTAAAAGTTACATTTCTTAACTTCCGTTTGTTGGAAAAAATTTATAATACAAATTTATAATACAAATAAAAAAAATACATTGTTAATTTTTTGTACTTTATGGTATATTTACAACAATTTTAGGTGTAATATATATATATATATATATATATATATATATATATATATATATATATATATATATATATATATATATATATATATATATATATATGTATATATATATATATATATATATATATATATATATATATATATATATATATATATATATATATATATATATATATATATATATATATATATATATATATATATAAGCTGATTTAAAATTTTAATATTTATATTCCAAGTCTTGCTTTTTTCACAGGTACTCCAACACGTTTTTCTCAAAGATAAAGATAATCTTTAACATACACAACAACTTCTTTTTCGGACGATTGATGAGAATATTTATCTAATGACTTTGGAATCAATAAATGAACGTAAGCTGCATTGAGAAAGCAAACTAGTGTTACAAGAAGAAAAACAAAAAACTGGTTAAACGGAAAACCAAGTTTATTGTTTTTCATGTTTGATAAAGACCAAGAAAATGTACTGCCAAAACACGCAGTTCCTGTTGCCCTTAAAAGTTAATCAAACTATATTAATACTATGTGTAGATATAGCTTTTTTAGGGGGGAAAGCACAAAATTAACGTTATTTAACTAATTTAAATTTTAAACAAAATGTGGGGTATTCTCAGAATGTGGGTGGTGTATCCTCAATCGAGTATCCTCAGAGTGTGGGTGAGGTATCTTTAATGGAGTATCCTCAGAGTGTGGGTGGGGTATCCTCAGCGGAGTATCCTCAGAGTATGGGTGGGGTATCCTCAGTGGAGTAGTAGTGATTTAAATATACCAAGAATATTTAAAAAAAAAATACTATGTTAAAAAAAATTAAATTTAAATTACCTTCCAATCGAGGATATAGAAGTTCCAAAACCATTAATTGTTCCTTGAAATTCAGGTTTTATAGAATTAGTCAGAAAAAGATTGACAGACACAAAACAACCACTATTAATAGATTCAATTACAGCTTGACATATTATGAGAACAAACCATTGAACTTCCCTATCAAACATTTAAGAAGTGTATGTAACTTTTATACTTAACAATAATAATAAATAATAACTTAAACGCATATATATGATGATTCTTTTTACTTGTGTGTAATCATTGCAACAGCAGGTATAAATGGGGTAATAGAACCAAAGCCAATGATCCAGTAGATGAACGACTAGAAATTATTACATTTAAAAATATCATTTATTTATTCAATACATAAAATTAACATTATCAAGTACAAAAATTTACTATAAGGGAATTTTAAAATATAAAACCTTTTTGGCGCCGAGTTTATGCAATATCTAAAATAATTATTAATTATGCAGTTAAATAATTTAAATAACTTAAAAAGTAGTTATTTATGAAAATAATATTTTTATTAATAATAACATATCTAAAATAAAATATAAAAATAATATAAATATCTACAACAAAGTCTAAAAAATTTACATATAAAATGTAAATTTTTGAAAACCTTGTAAAATATTATGTATATGGTTCCATTTTTAAGATTAAGCTTTTATTTCAACTACTTATATAAAAATTTTTAAGATTAAGCTTTTATTTCAACTACTTATATAAAAATTTTTAAGATTAAGCTTTTATTTCAACTACTTATATAAAAATTTTTAAGATTAAGCTTTTATTTCAACTACTTATATAAAAATTTTTAAGATTAAGCTTTTATTTCAACTACTTATATAAAAATTTTTAAGATTAAGCTTTTATTTCAACTACTTATATAAAAATTTTTAAGATTAAGCTTTTATTTCAACTACTTATATAAAAATAAGTTGAAACAATGTTTTATCTTTTGTGGAAATGTTAGGAGACAATAATTGAACTTTCACTCTCATCTTGAGGGTTAGGCAGGAAAATGAAATGGAAAAAGGGTCTGTTCATAAAGGCACTCAAAATAAATTTGCAGGTAGGAACTCAGAGTGCTCGCAAGAAGTGCTCAAAAAAATTATATATTTTTTTCCAAATATAAAGCATTGTAGTTATAAAAAAAATATACAAAATATTTTAATATTAGGCATTGTTATGAAATTTTGCAGTGTTACGTTAACTTTTTTGTACGATACAGGTTCAAAACCTGCCACCGCCACCTCAGCGCTTGAGTACTGTACGCAAAAATGTTGGTCAATAACGAACGCTACTTTGGATTAGTCTTAATGACTATTTGTAGCTGTTGCTATGCTAAGCCAACAATATCTTCGGATAAAAACAATGTATAGTAAAATATAGCATGAAATTCAAATAAAGACCATTTTTTATTTATTTATTTAAATTTTGAATTTTAAATTTTAGCACTGCTTGTTGTTACTATGCTATATTTGTATCACATAATAATAGATAATAAAGCAGCATAAAAATTTAATTCCTACTCAAATTTGTAATCCTAACCTAAAACAGTTAGCAAAAAACAAACAAAAAGAAAATTTCAAGATGGTTGATTAAAGGCCACTTCACCTGATCCTATTGACTGACAGTGACTAATTTGGTCATGTTTGGATAAATGGTGTATATATTATTTACGTATAGATATTTATATGATTAAAAAATTAATTGTAGGCCTTAATTTTCAAAATTATAAAAATTTTTTGATAAAATTTTGGTTAAATTAAAATAAATTTATTTTCAATTTTTAAATCAAAATTGATCTAAAATTTTTTTAACGCTTATTAAAAATTTTGTTAAAGAATAGTTCAATTATAGGGGAAGTTGGGGCACAGTGGATCGAATTTCTTTACTTTTTAAATTGAGGCAAAGTTAAAATGTGTAATTTATTTTTTTCTTGTCGAAAGGATTGAGATGTATGTTATTTATGATAATAAATCAAATATTTATTATCTTAAAAATTTATTATCTAATAATAATTATCTAACTTATTATCTAAATTTGTTATCTAATTATAAATCAAATATTTATTATCTAACGGCTTACAAAAAGAGTTAAAAAGAGTTTTGTTACGTTATTCACTGTGTCCCAGTACTGAGGCACAGTGAATCAATGAAAACAGCAGCGAATTAATTATAGTGAATAGGGCCATAGCCAAAAAACTATGAGGCTGAGGGAGTAAAGACACTGTACACTATAGTTTTGGCATATTTTAAATATATATATTAATATAAAATCGAAAAAATAGACATTTTGAAAATTGAGAAGAAATAAAAAGAATTTTACCAATAACAAAACTTATAAAAATAATAATTAAAAATTATTCAAGTATTATTATTCATAACTTAAAACTAATGAATTTATTTTCATGTAAATTGTTTGTTAAAAATGCATGAATTATTCACTGTATCCCACCATAACAAATTAAGTTTAAGTTTAATTTCTTGGGACACAAGTGTTGTTAAAAAAAAAGCTAAACTACTAAAAAGAAGCATAAATATCAATAATTCGAATGAAAAACTTCAACTTTTAAAATTATTTAAACCGTGATCTCCATAAAAAACATAAGGAAGGTAACAAAATTTACTTTAGTTAGCTAAAAACAAAAATTGCCTCCCGAAAACCGGTAGTCAAAAATTATGTGTTGTAAAACAACTATAAATAAAGATGGCTCATATATGAGCACATAAAATGATTTCATTATCAATATGAATAAAATTCTAATCGTTGAGAAAATGCCTTTTCTTCACTGTGCCCCTCGATCCACTGTACCCCAACTTCCCCTACTTTATTAGTTACTGAATATTAGACAAGTAACTTGTGAATAATCAATATTAGACAAATAACTGTCTTGTGAATAATCAATATTGGTTTTAAAGAAAATCATCTACCATTTAGAAGCAATTATTATGATGAATTTACAAAAATAATAGCTGTTATAAAATATATTTATAACAGCTATTATTTTTGTAAATTTAATCATTTTTATTTTTTAAATGAAAGAACAATTAGAGATATACAAATATAACAATCTTTAAAAAAATTCCATTCCTTCCATTATAAAAGAAACCATATTCTTTAGTATTAAATTTAAGTTTGGATCAAAAGAAATCATTTTTCTCAACAACGGTGGATCCATAAGAGGGGCATGGAAGTGATCACCCCCTCCCAACCCCATTCTCTTAGATATTTCAAAAAGATTTTTTTTTTTAAATATCTCAGAAATTTCCTTCCTACTTTAAAAGATAGTTTAGATCCATCTTCTCAAAAAAGTCTAGAAATTGCCTCTTTGCTTACTAAATGGTTGAGATTCGTCAAACAAAAAAACTCATAAATTCCCCCACCCTCTTTACTAGATGATTTGGATCTGCCCCCGTTTTTTGATATATATTAAATTTAAGTTTGGATTAGAGGTAACAAATCAGAATGCATGTATATATGTGAATTTTAATCTGAATACAGCTTTAATTTTTTGTTAAAATAAAGATAAAAGAAATGAACTCAGATACAAAATTTCAAAAATTAAATATATAGTATTGAAAAGGTCTTAAACAATTAAGCCCCCAGGAAAATATATATATATATATATATATATATATATATATATATATGTTTATATATATATATATATATATATATATATATATATATGTTTATATATATATATATATATATATATATATATATATATATATATATATATATATATATATATATATATATATATATATATATATATATATATATATATATATATATATATATATATATATATATATATATATATTAGGGTGGTGCACAAATATATTGACAATTTCAAAAGTTTCAAAAATCAATGTGGTACTTTATCCTATTGTTCCTTTTATCATTATATTAATTCCTGCAAAAGTTAAGCAAATTTGAATGGCTTTTAGAGGTCGCTCATGGCCATGTTTCCTCTTTTAATTGCCATTATTTTCTTATTCTAACGTTACTGTGAAGTTTTTAATATGTACATTTGTTTATTTATTTTATTATGACATAACTCTTAATTTGATTTAATTTAATTAATTATGATAATTATTTTAATTGATTTTAAATATTTTTTAAATATATTTTTCTAATTTAATAGTGTGCAACTATCTTTGACAATATACCGCAAAGCATTTTAATTTTTGCTCATATGAGTGCTGATTTGAGGCTTTAAAAAAATAAATTCATTTTGTGATAACAATTGTTTTACTCAGGTTATATTTTGATTTTCAGAAATATCCTGTAATATGAATTCTCAGTTATCTTTCCCTTCGTTTTCGAAAAAAATTGAAACTCGAACAACTACTGACATTTATCTTGTTGGGTCTGTTTCTCCAAATATTTCTGGGATGACGCTTCCAACATGTCGTCAAGTTCTTGCAGTATTTTTTCATCTTCACAAAATAGAAAAACAAACCGTTAGACAAAGTGCAAGGTGTGTCATTCAAGAAGTATTTCATTTGTGAAATATGGCAAGAATTCCAACAACTATTGAACGTAATGCAATTGAAAAATTTGAAAATATTTTTTACAAATGGGCTAAAATAAAGAAAAACATGAAACGAGCTTCGGCAACACAAACAGCAAATGAAAATGTTTTTTGTGAAGAAATTGATCGCATTTTTGATATAGCACATGCTGATGCCATGAGTTTGATTACAATTAAAGAAGACAGACTATTTCTAATAGATCAGCGAGGTGAACGTAAGGGATACATGGCCGGAGTTGACATGGCATTGGCAAAAACAGAAGAACGTGTCCAGAAAAGAAAAGAATTAGAAGAGTCCAGACGTTTTCAGGAAAAAAAGCGAAAAAAAGAAGCTGAAAATACAAGTCACATTGATTCGATGCACCTATCTGACAAGTCTACATCTGGCACTGAAACCTCAGATGAAGAATTTATGAAACCAAAGAAATCTAATCAAAATGTTGTAAAAAAGCAATCGCGATCTCAAAATATCATTTCACCTGAGTTAGCATCTGCTCTTGACCGAACCAACGTCACGGATCGCCAAGCGACTTATTTACTGGCAGCTTATATTTACAGCAAAAGGTTTAGGTCATGACATTACAGATTTTGCTATTAGTCGCGATACGATCCGGAGAGCTAGAATTACTAATCGAAACAAAATTGCTACAACCATAAAGTTTGCATTCAACTCGTCAAATGTTCCATTGACTGTTCATTTTGATGGCAAAATATTGCCAAATATTACTAGAAGAGATTCAGTTGATCGATTAGCAGTTGTTGTTACAGGTTACAACGTTGACCAGCTTCTTGGCATTCCAAAGTTAACAAGGGGTACTGGTAAAGCAATAAGTGAAGCTGTTATAACAACTTTACTAGATTGAGACATTCAAGACCGAGTTAGAGCAATTAGTTTTGATACAACGGCTGCCAACACTGGTACCGAAGCTGGAGCTTTAATTGAAAAAAAGCTTAATAGAGAACTATTACACTTGGCATGCCGTCATCATATGTATGAAATCGTCTTGAGTGATGTTTTTAAGCATTCTCTTGGGCAATCCAGTGGTCCTGAAATAGGATTATTTAAACGTTTTCGTGACAAGTGGTCATTAATTGACAAAAATAATTATGAAACAGCGTTAAATGATCAAACATGTTTGGACATTTTGGCTTCTCACACCATACTCAAACAGGATGCACTATTTTATTTGAAAGCAATTCTTGAATCTGGTAAACAATATCGAGATGACTACAAGGAATTGTTGGAACTAACCTTGTTGTTTCTTGGTGATGTTCCTCCTCGTGGGGCTCATGTAATGGCTCCCGGAGCCATACACAGAATAAGGTGCATGGCCAAAATTTTATATTCAATGAAAATATGGATGTTCAAAAGGCAGTTCAAATTAACGGCAACAGAAGAAAAATTACTTCGAGGTATTAGCTTGTTTGCTAGTTTGGTGTACACCAAATTTTGGATATCATGTACCAATCCAACACTTGCTCCGTCGAATGATCTCACTTTCTTGAAGACTGTTTTTCAACATAAAGCCATTAACAATGGAATTTTTACAGCTGCAACAACAGCATTTTTGAGGCATTTATGGTATCTAAGTGAAGAAATGGTAGCATTGGCTTTTTTTGATAAGGAGATCAGCAAGGAAACAAAAGCAAAAATGGTTTTGGCTCTACAAAATGCTGGAGAGGATGAACCACAGAAAAGAATAAAAATCGATTTAACTTCAATTGAAAATCTGCAAATAGAAAGTTTTGTAACAGAGAATACCTTAAATTTTTTCAACATTTTGGAATTAACAACTACTTTTTTGACAACTGTTAATCCTGACAAGTGGATCGAAAATGAAGAGTTTCAACAGGCAGAAAAAATTGTAAAAAGTCTACGAGTTGTTAATGATAAGGCTGAAAGAGGAGTAAAACTAATTCAGGATTTTAATTGTTCAATTACCAAAAATGAAGAACAAAAGCAATTCTTGTTGCAGGTAGTCTCTGAACACAGGTCAAAGTTTCCTCTGCCACAGAAATCTTTGTTGATCGATGGAACCAAGTCATCAAAAAACGATGGAAACAAAAACCAATGAATTTTTTTTCATAGATTACAATAATTTTTTGCAAAGAAGCTGAAATATAAATGAAACCTAAAACTCTAACAATTTTTAAGATTTTTTGGAACTATTATTGTTTTTTAAATTTGTCTTTACTATAGTGAACACAAATACGTTATTATAAACCAGAAGTTTATTACTTTATTCTTCAATTATTTTATTTGTAAACACTAATATATATAATTCAGTTTAAAAAATACTTCATGGTTTTGGATTAATATACAGTAAGAGTTAAAATGCAATGTTGTATCATAATTTATTCAAAATTTGGGATTGCACACTAAAAGAGAACTCAAACCCAAAAAGTAAAAAACTTGATGTTGATGAGCAACCTCTAAAAATTATTCAATCATGCCCAAACTTCACGATTGTTATTCCTACACATAATGTCACATAAAGAAATGATACCATCAAAGAAATTAAAAAAAAAATTTTTTTGCACCACCCTAATATATATATATATATATATATATATATATATATATATATATATATATATATATATATATATATATATATATATATATATATATATATATATTATCATATATATTTATTTTAATAATATTTTATAAATTTATTTTAATTTAATGGAATACATTTTAACTTTAAATGGATGGAAAACCCGTTTTTCATTTCAGAAATTAGAGATCAGTTAAGATTTATAAAAAAAATAAATGCAATTACCAATAAACGGGCTAAAAAATATTTCAAAATGCAAACCTTTGGTATTATAAGAAACATTCCTAGAATTGCGAGAATATTGTACAAGAGCATCAAGAGCCCGATATCCTGTGTAGTCATTCCCAGACCATCTATTAAAATAATACTAGTTGATATCATCTTCTGAATTATTTAAAAAAGTATATTTAAAGAAAGTTACCAAAATGTTTTGAAGTTGCAGCAAATATTGGGAAAACCTCCAAATAGCCTACTCCAACAATACAAAACACACCATACAACAGTAAACTTAAAACACTTAGTTTTGATCTAAAAATATTTACTAATGTTTTAAACCAAGCTTTTCTTTCTTAACGTTTTTTATTTCAAAAGAAAAAAAGAAAAAAGATTGATAAAAAATATTTACGTGAATACTTGGCCAAAGTTCGAGTTGTAAATTATTTTTTTTAATCTTGAGTAGTAACTTATTTTGTCATTCTTAATCAATTTTGAAGTCTCTGATGGTGTTATCTTTCGTGAATTTAAAATTTGTACTGATGATGATGTTTCATAACTAAGATCAACTGATATATTTGAATACTGATCTAGTACATGATCACAACAGTTTTCATTAGAAACTATTAGTAATCTTTCTGGATTGAACTTCCTATAAAAAAAACAAGGTAATCTAATAACATCTAGTTTCAACAAAAAGTAAACTTAGACTTGGTCTTGCAAAGTGTGACCTAAAAAAAGATGGCCTTTATCCTATATGAGTGCCATCATATGATAATATTGACGATAAAGTATGTGTTTCCTTTGAATACAATTCTTTCAACATTGTTTTATTTAAATTAAACTCAATTAAAAATAAATGTCATACAAACATCAAAACATTACGATTAAAACATTACTTATCTTTCAAACAAAAAAAAATCAATTTAACCATTAAAACTGTAATAGTAATGTGAATTTTTAGTTTTACAAATTTTATAGGTTCTTGTTATTAATTGAAAATATAATTAAAAAAAATTTATTGCAACTCAATAAAATTGCAATAAATAATAATACTCCTCATTTTATATTATATCATTTAAGTTTATTAAACATTTGTAAAACATAAATACTGACCTACTTGAATTAAACATTTGTAAAACATAATTACTGACCTACTTGAATAAGGAAGAACCCACATAACTAATGCATTAGAAATTAGGAGACCAAATGCAATGATTAGATTTGGTAAAAGAATTCCATACTTGCTGAAAAAATCATCTGTGAAAATATAAAATACAGATTTTTTAATCAAATGTATGCACTATCTGGTGCATAATACAAGATTGGGAGAAAGGGGGATGAAAAGGTGGATGGCATTTTCCTCTATTGCTAATAAATGAGGGATCCTTAATTAAAAGAAGTAGATGGGAGATTTTTTATTTTAGTTTTTATAAATGAATTTATACTTTCAACCTTTTAAAAATTACAATAAAATATTTTGTTGTTATTATTTTGTTGTTATTAAGTGAGTTTACACTTACAACTTTTTAATAATTACAACTAAAGATTTATTTTTATTAAAAGCGAATTTATACTTTCAACTTTTTAATAATTACAATGAAAAGTTTTATTATTTTAGTTAGATACATTTTTTTTGTTGGGAACAAGTTAATTGATAAATATTTTAAACTCATTTTTAATTTATTTAAAATAGTGTTATTCAGCTTGCAGGAAGAGGGAATACTTACAAAAATTAATAAACGCCCTAACCAACGCTCGGTGTTTTATGCATCTAAGAGCATATAAAAATACATACATACATATATATGTATATATATATATATATATATATATATATATATATATATATATATATATATATATATTATTATATAAATATATATATATATATATATATTATATATATATATATTTATATAATATATATATATATATATATATATATATATATATATATATATATATATATATATATATATATATATATATATATATATATATGTATATATATATATATATATATATATATATATATATATATATATATATATATATATATATATATATATTATATAAATATAATAAATATATATTATATAAATGTAATAAATATATACAGTTTGGTGGCTGGCTCCCTATAACTTTTTGGAAGCAAAATATTCTGGCTTTCGCCTCCCGTAGCTTCCTCCCTTCTTGTATTGGCGACCTTAGCCAAAGACCAACGCCAATATGGATGCGTAAGCCATTGGTGGCCACCTCTAGATGAAGTTTTGGAGGCAAAATTGTTTTGAGGCAAACTCCAGTGGCTTCTGTCTACCAGCTGGCTGCGGTCGCCAAGTTGAAGGTGGAATTTTTACATCCAGCTGGCGGAAGTATAGAAAAACATTTTCATGTTTGTTTTTAAATTAACGAGCAATTTAAATACTTATTGGGAGCAAATATTAAAAATTTGACATCAATTTTGCATTTTATATGATTAATTGACAAATTTTGACTATTTAATTATAATATTAATTTTGTCAGAGTTTTTAATTTTGTTTCAGAGTTGTTTATTTAACAAGTTCAAATAAAATCGAAAAAAACTACCGAATAAACTAGTAGTTTCTTGTTCAAAACAAATGTAAAAAATTGGAAATTTTCCTTCCATGTCACAGGCGAAAAAATCATTTTGTAAAAAAAGCTTATAATAAATAATTAAAATTGTCAGTTTATGATCAAAGTCTTATTTTTTGTCGCCCATCCAGCATACTAAAACTTTCATTTTATGACGATGTTATGGCCATAACATTAAATTTTTAACTTGAATGATTATATTTTGTAAAAATAATTGAAAAATATCATATCTTTCATTTTTCATTAGGAATTTATAAAATTAATTTAGTATTGGCTTGAATTGTATTTTTCCAATAATAAACCTTTTTTTTTTATAAATATAAAACTTTTTGCTACAGAAATGAAAAACACGCTTAGTCAAACCAAATAATATTCTATCGAGATTTTTTTACTTTATATTCTGGTGCAGTATGAGATTTTTGATACAACATTTTTAACCAATAATAAATTTTTTTCCCCATTAAAACAATTTGTATTGATTTTTTATTCACTTGTAAAAATCTTGTAATAAATTTTTACAGTTATGAGATTTCTACCTGCTACTGGGTTAGTATACTGAAAATATTTTGATATACCGTTTACAAACCTTTCATATTCATACTCTTATAAGTGCGTAAGCTTATAAACTAATCTTTATTGGTAAATAATACTATTATGATGATGTTATAAATTTGATTATGTGCATATATATCAAATACATTGTATATTGTTATACAACCATTATCAATTACAGAAGACGACATTCACAACAAGTAATAAAAATGACATTCTACGAAGGTTTAAGATTTATGTAGAGTAAGATGCTTAACGGAAGAGTACGTAAACTTTATGTTGAAACAATTTTTTATATTAGCATTTTTTTTTATTCTGGTGTAAGTATAAGCTGTTCAGTTCAAAATACAACGAATAAATCTAAACTCTCACCTGCCAAATAAAAGAAGGTCTCTTAACAAACTGGAGGGTCAGAAATATTATTATAAAATCTAATAAAAAAAGAAATCTATAAACGGGAGAATCCGAATATCAAACCGATTATATATTATCAATAATAGTTTTTCTTATTGGAAAAATAAAAATATTTGATTTAAACATTCTTCTCACTCAAATCGCAGAATAATGATTATATTATAATTTTATGTACATTATTGTTGACATTAATGTGCGTTATTATAATGTACATTGATGTCAATTTTTTTTTAATTTATCTTTTAGTTTATCAAGTAACGATGGGAGCTGATAATAACTTAGATTTTTACTTAGAGTAACTTTTGTAACTAAAAGTTGTTATATCATACAATTTTTTCTTAAATCTTTTTTTATAAATCATATTGATTTTTAACAACTTACCTTTATTAAATATAGTTGGATGCTGAATATCCGGGAAAACTAGAAACCCTAAAAATAAAATCAAAATTTACAAAATTTTTTAATACAGCTGTATGGTATATGTACAGTTGAACTCATTTAGTTCGAATACTCATGGGGTCTTAATTCGACAAATTACAAAACGACTGTGGCCCAGTGGTTAAAGCGCATATTTTAGAAGCAAGAGGTTTTGGGTTTGAAATGAGCTCTAGGCATATTTTGCGCCATTAGTAGTAGCCATTAGCTATGCTCAGTGACAAGACCGTTAGGTCTTTTGGGGCACCTAAACCAAAAATTAAAAAAAATTAAAAAAAATTACAAACGTTTTTGAATTATAGTTTAATAATAGATAGACCAAAGAATTTGTTTGATTTAAATGATCTTTCGAATTATAAGACTTCATCTAAATGAGCTTAACTGTACAAAGGTTTTATGTAATTTTAAAAAAAAGTTTTTTAAATTTTTTTACAAAATAGATAGGGCCATTAAAATAGTCAATTTTTGAAAATTAATTCGTCTGGTATATTTTTATTTTTTTAACTTATTATTTAATAAAATATTATTATATATTGAATGAATAAAACAACTAAATTTATATAACTTTTTTCATTCTTTGGATATGTCCATAATGTATATACGCAGGTACCTGCGTATGGTCGTTTAGATGTGGCCACATCTAAACGACCATATATATACCTAGATATATAGGGACTTTAAGTTAACCAAAAACGTACAAATGCGTACAATCGGAACCGGGGAAAGGCAGTAAGAACGTACGAAAAGTTTGCAAAAAAGTGCATTCTTGTTTTAAAATAAGGAAAAAATACATTAAAAAGTAAACTAAATGATTAAAGTAACAACTACATTTATAACCAATTAATTAATACAAGATCAATACCTTTTTTAAGGGGTGCGCATGTGTGAGTTTTTAGTTTTTTAACGAAGGAGGAGGAGGAGGTTAGTGCTTTGATTGAGGTGCGTTCTCTGGTACCTCAATCATATCGCTGATTCTGAGCTTATAATTGAACAAAAACTTCATCATTTAAAATTTGTTTACCTTTGGTTTACTTAGCTTTACCTGATAAACTTGGACCAACAATTAATCCAATGTTATAAGCTGCATAAAATATTGAAAATGCAAGACCCATATTAGTTTCGTTGGCGTGTTCAGATACAATGGTTTTTGAAATTGGACCAATACCTCAAAAATGTAGTAAATTAGAATAAATTAAAAGAGGTTTTTAACTAAATTAAATATTAAAAAAACATACCAGTAAAAAACATACCAGTAAATACACCTTGCATGAATCTTGTTATTAAAGCCCAAAAATACGAGCGACTTAAACCAAACAAAATAGTCGAAATAATCAATCCAAAAGATGAAACAAGTAACGTTTTTTTTTGATTAAATTTATCTCCAATGTACCCCCATACCAAACTAGATATAAAACTTTATTCGTAATTGTTTTGTTTATATATAGTAAATATAAAATTTTCAATATACATTACTGCTTAAATTAAATATTTGTAAATAACAACCCACCCACTCATAACTCTTGCAATGAATATAGACGCTCCAATCCAACCTGCATCTTCACCTTTGGTATAATAAAAAAAAATCATTTGTTGAAACAAACAAAAATGAAATAAAAAATATCTTCCTTACCAGCTTCAACTTCAGATGCTCCAAATGACTAAACAAAAAAAAGCAAGAAAACAGATAAATTAATAAATTTACTTTAAAGTAAAAAAAAAAGATACACAAGCAAAAGTAAAGTAAATAAATATTAAAAAATATAAAATTAAAGTAAATAAATATTACTTTTACAAGTTGTGGAAGATAGCTGAAAACTGTTGTATTTGTCATTGCTTCAAAGAACTATACAATATATGAAAATAAAAATGTTAGTCTTTTATTTAGTCTTTTTTATTTTCTGGAAGTCTTCCTAACACTCTAAACATTGAACCTTATTGGTTTTTGTTACCTCTCGTATTAAAATTATTTGCTCAAAAGCTATACATAAAATTAATAAAAATTAGTTAATACAGTTCTATTATCAAGACAGCACACCAGGCAACACCGCCTTAACGTATGGGCACACCTTCGAACTACCCGAAGGGGCCGTACTCAAAGAAATTTAATTCATAGGGCCCCGGCACCTATGAATTAAATACATGTATATATTATATGCAAGAAGAAAAAACATAAAGTAATTACTTAAAATAACAAATATTTTCTTCACAAAATTACATATTATTTTTCGTAAAAAAATAATAGAGGAACTAGGAGCAAGATGATTTTTCATATAACTCAACAAAAAAAAATTTAAAATCGTGGAAACAAAACTGTATTTGCACCCTATATTTTAAAATACCGATTGATTCTTTTGGTTTTAGTTGTAACTTTATAGGGTTATTTTTTTGCAACATGTATTTACTTTTGTGACACGTATTTTTATTTTGAGCAGATGATAATTACGTGACCAGATGATAAATTTATGAATTTTGCATTTTAATTTGTATTACAGGGTTTTCTACTTGCAAACTGGAAACTCATGCAGGCAATGATTCATTATGATAAAACAAACATACTAATAAATTATTATTGCTTCACGACCGACAGTTTTGTAAAAACTCAGGATTTTTAAAACGTTTGCCACCATGTCCCGCCTTCCTCTATAAAATATAATAGACTGTTTTAATTGTGAATTTAAGTACAGCAGTGGATGGCCTAGTGTCGCCCTGTCGAAAAAGAAATAATAAAAGATTTCAATTTTACATTTTTATAACAAAAAAATTCTTAACCCATCAAAAACTTTCTTGGCAAATATATTTCATTGCAGAGCCTGTTTACAATAAAAATTTCCATTTTATGTTTGTATTCAACAATTTTCATTTTAATCAAGTTTTGTTTGTCGGTATTTTTTATTTAAAGTAAAAATAAAAGTTTAAGATTGGCTTCATATTGATATTTGTTATTGATTTGTTGGCAAAGATCGTTTATCGGCTAGCGAATGGCTAGCTATAATCTTAACGATAACGACAGCGATTTGGCTACGAGGATCGCTAGCTTTTTTAAGTTAGCAAAAAACTATCGATGTTTGTAAAGATAAAGACAGCGATTTGGCTACGAGGACAGCTAGCTAAATAAGTTAAAAACCCACTGGCTATTGTAGCTTAAGTCATACGGTAATAAAATTGCTGTCTAAAAAATTTTGATATGTAGCTACCAACCGGCTATAGATTTGTAGATATTTTGTAGCTAGGTACAAAGCTACGATATGTAGCTAGCGACACATTGCTACGTTATCGCAATGTTTAATCATAAGTTATAAGGTATTATATTAGTTGTTAATTTATTGATAGTGTACTAATTTAGTTTATATATTTTATATATTATCTTTTTTATCTTTTTTCAAAACAATTATAACTAGTTTCATTATTTTTTGGTTTTAGCAGAGTTTTGTTTGTTTACTATTTTTAAATTAATTTTATAATATTTAGTATGTTTACTATTTTTACTATGTTTACTATTTTTACTATGTTTATTATTTTTATATTATTTTTTATTTTAGTTTTTGTTTGCTCTTTAAAAATAGTTATGTTTAAACTATAAGTTTAATTAAACATTAAAATTAAAATTAAATAGCATTAAACTTGCTTTATAAAATACAATCTGTAATCTAAGTTCTACATAAAAACTCTTCAAGTTTCATTTAAACATACTATCAAATTTTAATATATAAATATTGCTAAAAAATAACTTACATAGAGTAGAGTTAGAGAGAATATAATTGGGTGAGGCAACAGATCCATGTCGTCATTGTATAATAACCTTCTTAGTAACATTTATGAGTTAGCTGCTAAAGTAATCAAACAATTTAAGTCATCGTAATTAAATCAACTTAATAAATTTATCTATAATATCAAGTTAGCTTTATTAATAAATCTTTTTTTATCTATATTATCAAGTTAGTTTTATTAATAAATCTTTTTTTATCTATATTATCAAGTTAGTTTTATTAATAAATCTTTTTATCTATATTATCAAGTTAGTTTTATTAATAAATCTTTTTATCTATATAATCAAGTTAGTTTTATTAATAAATCTTTTTAGGGGTCGTCAATAAATTACTTCTCGCAATTTTGGACAACCCCTTAGTAGTTAGATAGCTATACTTTATACTGCTACTGGTAGTAAAATAAATTATTTTTAATCTTTATTTTTATAGTTATAAACATAAATATTTATTACCATAAATATTAAATATACTTAGAGTAATAAATATCCATTTTTCAAAATATTTGAACTTTAAGAAAGCGTTGTCTTTTAATTTTGATTTTTTGGCTGACAATGTCTTTTTTTAATAAAAAACATTTGACACTTATGAAACACCTAAAAATGCATTAAAAGGTTTGTTTATGTATTAAGCAAAATGTTTCTGCTTAATAAAAAAAATTTTAATAAAAAATTTTTTACAATCAAAAAATCAAAGTTCAATTAAGTTTTATTTTGAGACTGGAAAAAAAAAATTAATCTTTTTTTTAATCTCTTTACCCCAATTTTATCTCTCTACCCCAACCTTTATCTTAAAACTTTTAGATCCTTATCAAAACTTTAAAACATTTAAAAGCTGATCAAGTATAGTTACATACTGTAGTTTCAATTATTCAATTGTATAATGTTAACATAATATAATTATTTATTAGCTTTTGTCTATTGTTTGATGAACAAATAGTATTATATAATGTAAACATAATACAATTACATATTAACTTTTATCTACTGTTTGAAGAATTATATTTTTATTGTTTCGTTGATTAAAATATAATGAAAGCTTCTTTTTTTTTTTTTTTTTTAAAAAAACTTTTACAATAATCAAAATTTCAAGTTAAAATTAAACAAAAAAAAAGACAACCTTATGAAAGAAAACAATCCGGCTCTATATAAAAATATGCAACGGTAGTCTAAACGAAGGTAGTTCTGAAATTTGATTGTATGTATATAAGTATATATACATACAATCAAATTTCAGATAAATACAAATGGCCGGGTCAAGAAGAAGACACATTTTGTCTTATCACCAAGCCCCGAGAATTGACTCCGTAAAATAAAAATTATTACTTACAGCATATGTAATTGTAACCTGTATATAAGAAATAAGATTTTCTGGTAGTAAATATATAAAAATAGTAAAAATATATAAAAAGAGTAATAAATACTTAAAAAATAAAATTTCGCAACATATAACTTGTGAAAAAATTTATATTCCTTTGAAAAAATCAAATAAAAAGTTACAAATTAAAAAAAATAAAATGTTGGTTTAACTCTTAAGATAAGAATAAATAAAAAGATGCTAATTGATTATAATTAAATACTAATTAGTATTATTAATCTAAAGTAAAGTACATAAGGATCTGAATCTCTCCAATATATATATATATATATATATATATATATATATATATATATATATATATATATATATATATATATATATATATATATATATATATATATATATATCCATATATATATATATATATATATATATATATATATATATATATATGTATATATATATATATATATAATATATATATATATATATATATATATATATATATATTTAAATATATAGATTATGATTCGCCTAATAAAATAACTTTAGAAGAAGTCATGCACTCCGTCACTAACCGGAAGCATTTGTTTCAATTTTACTTTGAATTCGTTAAGAGTTTCATGAGTTTTAAGTTTATTAGATATAAATTTATTCCATACTTTTCGCCCTCTAATAGGTATTGAAAACTCCGTTGCTGTAAAAAAACATTTAGGCTGAATATAAGTGTTGCTTGAGTATCTGGTTAAGTATCTAAATTTATTTATTATGAATAACGAATTAAAAATGTTAAATGTTATTTTTGAATTAACTTTGAACATAAAAATTAAAAGATGATAAATGTTTATTTGGTAGACGATGAGTATATTTAGCTTTATAAATAGTTCTTTGCAGTGTGTAAAACGGTCTAGATTAGATAATATTCTGATTGCATGTTTTTGCTTATTAAAGAGTTTTTTAATTTTGTTTTGATTTGTGCTACTATTTGCGTAATTCAGATAAAAATGAATAAAGGAGAAATATAACAGTTTTAAACAAGTTTGATTTAATAAAGGCCTCGCCTTATAAAATAATCCTATATTTCTCGAGATTTTACCTTCAAGGTAATGTATATGATCTTTCCAAGTTACGTTTTCATCAAGAAGTACGTCTAGAAATTTTAAAGAGTGTTTTCTTTTTATAGCTTGACTACCAATACAAAGAATTGGAAGTTTTAAGCGAATTTTATTGCGTTCATGAAAGCGAAAAATGAATACTTTGTTTTAGTTAAACTAATTGATAATTTATTTGCATTAAGCCATTCAGTAAGTTTTAAGAGTTTCATGTTAACTGAGTTAAACAACATTTTTATATCATGGTGAGCGTAAAACAAATTTGCATCATCAGCAAATAAGGGGCTGTTCATATGGATAAAATCATCCCGCCTAACCGGGACAAAAAAACAACCGGGGTCCCGCCTATCTTAATAAACTCTTATAATTTTAACATCGCGTTCATATATAAAGTTTCTCACCCCGTCTAGGCGGGATCTCGCCTATGGACTACCGGGATCCCGGTCAGGCGGAGTGAGAATTCTTCATATGAACACAAGTTGAAAATTACCCTGGCTTGACTGAACAGTTTTGTTAAGAAATTCAATGAGCATTGAATTATTTTTAAGTTTAATTATTTTTCTCCGCAGCTAAAAGAAATGTATTGTTTCCTATTTGACAAATTGCTTTGAAACCATTTAATATTCGAATTTTTAATCCCGTAATTTTCTAGTTTATTTAGGAGAATATAATGATCAACAGTATCAATTGTTTTTCTAAGTTCTATAAAAACAGCTAACGTACATTTATTTTCATCAAATGCCTAAAAAATATTTTGAACAAGATGAATAATTGCTTGATCAATAGAGTGATTCTTTTTAAATCCGAATTGTTTATTATAGAGAACATTGTTATTTTCTAAAAAGGTAAATAGTCGGTGATACATAATGTATTCTAATACTTTAGAAAAGCATGATAATATTGAGATTGGTCTGAAATTGGATACGCTTGTAACATCTCCGGATTTGAAGGCAGGGACTTAAATTACTATTAAATTTTAGTTTTTATTTAAGTTAGATGTTCCTAATTTTATAAATATTTCATTATAAATTATGATCCGGATTTATATATATATATAAAAAAATCTCATATTAGAAGTTTTTATAAATAATTTTTAGAAACAGTGTTTTAGCTTATAAGGTTTAGCTTATGAGGTTTTAGCTTATAAGGTTTAGCTTATGAGGTTTTAGCTTATAAGGTTTAGCTTATGAGGTTTTAGCTTATGAGGTATCTAATATTTATAAAATAAAAAGCTCACTATTCTAATTATTTTGAAGCACTGAAGAGTAATTTAAAATTTTTAAATAACTTTTGAAAGTTGAAGTAATTTTAAATAACTTTTGAAAAATGAAGCATTTTTAGGTTTTTGGAAGTAATAATAGTGAACTTAATTGCTTTTCGTTAAATTAAAAAAGAAAGTTTCATTTATTATTTTATTTAATGATTACCGGTTTTATAATGAAGTCTAACACAAAGTTTATAATAAAATTTTAATTTAATTGTATATTACACAACTTACAATATTACATATACAAGTAAATATACAAGTAGTTCTAAATGAACTATTAAATTAATTCACTGCTTGAATTACGATCTTTTTTGTTTTGCTTATTAAATAAATTTGTTGCGAAGTTTATTGATCATCCTTTTTTTTTTTATATTATTATTATTTTTTTTATTATTTATTTATTTTGCCCTTGATAAATATTACAAAAAAAAAAAATTACAATAAAAGAAAATCCTGTCCGGTGCAAGAAGAAGACAGGTTGTCTTATCACCGAGTCTCGTCCCAAAAAAGTTTACATGCACAATAAATGATAAAAGACAAAAAGACAGTATAAATACAAAAACAAAAACAAAAAAACTTCAGCAATAAAATAATTTGTTGCTAACAATCTTTTAGCAGAACAATTTTAAAAATAAAAAGTAAAAACGACAGAAAATCATGAAAGTTATAAAAACACAAAAAAATGCGTTGTTTAATTAAAAAAAAAAGCAATATATGTAAACATAAGTATTTGGGCTGATTATTTAATACCATCAAAAATATGAACGAAAAAGACAATTTTATTTTCTTTATCTTTTATACTAATGGTTTGAAACCATTTTAATAAAAGCTAAAAAAAGTGATAAAGATTTAATTTATTTTTAAGTGATTTAGTTTAAACCTTTAAATTGTTTTCAAAAAAGGTAATTGAAATCTAATATATCGAATTCCATGTTAAGTAAATGCCGTTTTGAATCATCCTTAAAACTTTGCAAAGTGCAATTTAAAACGAAGTTTTGTTTTTTATTAAAGATTTGAAGAAATTTTTTCCAAACTAAAAGTCCCCGATATTAAATTTGGTACAAACTTAATTTAACAAGGTTTATGGGAACCACAAAGTTATTCACTGAAAATTTGGTTGGATATTTATGGGAGATTTCATTAAAGTAGGATTGAAATGATACTGGAGAAAGTCCAAGTTTTGCTTTAAACATAAATATCATTACTTGATGAATATTAAGCTTAAAAATATTTAAAGCTCCAAGCTGACGTAAGAGAGGTTCGCATTGTGTTTTTCTATTTGCCCCAAATACTATCCTGCAAGCATGTTTTTGTTTACTATAAATTTTTTTGAGTTTAGCGTGATTAGTGCTACCCCAGGAAATGTTACAGTATGAAAGATAGCTGTGTATAAACGAAAAATATAAATTTTTTAAAGACTCGTTATTAAGAAAAAGTTTTGTTCGATACAACATGGCAATGTTTTTTGAGATCTTACCTTGAATATATTTAATATGAAATTTCCATGACAATTTTTCATCTAAGAGCACTCCCAGAAAGTTTGAAGTCAATTCCCCTTTAAGGTGGTTATCAGGTAAAAAAATTATTTTTTGATTGCCAACTTAATCATATACCAAAGTTAGTTTAAAAGAAACATACTTATTAATATAATTAAAAATGATAAAAAAAAAAAAATTTCCTTTTTTTTTTGCTGAATCAGCATAAAATGCAAAAAAATCAATGAAAAAAGAAAACAACATTTTCTCAGCCTCTTTATGACATTATAAGCCAAAACTTACAACACTGATAGATTATAGTGTATTAAACAAAAGCTTACTAGAAAAACTAAAAATAATTATTATTTTTAAAATGGCAGCTTTTTCAATTTTAACGGAAATTATTGATACAAAAAAAAAAGGTAAAACATGAATATATTCAAATGGAAACAAGCTTAAGATTAGTTCTAGTAAGCTATTGCAGTTCTATCTATAAAGAAACAACCCTGAAAATTTGAACTCAATTGCATATCTGGTTAAAAAGATATGAATGATTCGCTTATTGCAGTCAGGCAAAAACAAACAATTGAGAAATCAAGCTTCAAAGTTTAAAAACAATTTATTAATTAAAAATTTCCTGTAATATAAGAGTCTACTCCCTCTTTTTCTTTCTCCTTATCAATATAACCCTTCCTGATACATCTCCTTTTCCTTCTAGCCCTTTTTTGCTTTGGAGTTGAATTTTTAATTGTGTTCTTTACTCTTGATACGTCCTTCTTCCACGATCCTTGGATCATAAAACTTCCAGGCAAGAGCTGCAAATAATCAAAAATTCTTGTGAAACCTCTCAAACCATCATTGTAATTTATTACAGCTGAAGCAACACCAAGATCTAGTACCTTTTTAGTAACAAAAATATTTTTTGGACACTTTTTCCAGATTATCTGGTTGAAAGCCTCATTTGGATTTTGTGTTGCGCCATCCAGGCAACTTTAAACTTTTTTCTTTCTGCTTAACAAATAACATCAAAACATACGGCTTTGCTAAAAATAACTCTGGTTCAAAAGTTTAGTTAATTATACAGACCCATGAAAAGAAATAATTGTTTAAATCTAGGTCTTTGGGTAATATATCTATAAAAAATTATTGGTTGCTATGCGGTTGTTAAGTAAATTTTTTTTACTCTTACCAACTAAAACAATTTTTTTACATTTTTTTATTAATTAACCCATATCATGTTATATATGGTTAAAAAGCCAATTAAATTTTAAACAAAGTTGGCTGATAAACTAAAAAACACATTTTTTCACAAAAATCGCTATTTTTTTACCTGATAACCACCTTAATATATTCTCGGCTTTACTAGGTTTATGGAATAGGATAAATTTTGTTTTCTCTACATTTAATGATAGTCGTTAAGAATTAGTTATAAAAATATTTTTATGCTTCTTTGAAGATTCTTGACCAATTAGGCCAAGTTGAAGCAATCCTTCTGGACCAAACTTTGCTTTCCATTTTTTTATAATTTAATCTGTTATTTCTGATAGTTCTACAGGAATCTATATATTAATCTATATTTTGAGATTTTACACGTGAACCTCATAGCACTACACATTGTCATATCAGGGGCGGATCCATTATTTTACTTCAAACGCCAAAAAATGCTGCATTCACCCTTGTGTCATTTTAGTAATATATTACTAAGTAATGTATACACTGATTAGTGTATTTTTTGTAGTATTATTTTTTAAATAAATTTAAAAAAAAGTTCGATGAAAGTTTTTTTCTTTTTTAAATTTATTCATTGGTTATTAGAAAAACGTCGATAAAACGTCTGAGCGATGTTTTATAGACGTCACATGTCCGTAGGACGTCAATAAAACGCCCAACAAATATACAAAGTTGATTTAGAAACTTAGACACGGTTGTATTATAAAACACCGTTGTTAATCCACGGTCTCGTTAGATTTTTACACTGATTTAGAAAAGTTTACGCGTAGTTTAAACGTAAACTTGTGATTTTAATTAAAAAAAAAACCAACTGATCAAGTTCTTTTGTCTAAAAAAATACGACGTTGAATAAAAGTTTGTTTTTTTTAATATTTTTTTTGGTGCCCCAAGGTCTTATCACAGAGCATTGCGGATGACCACTCGAAAGGAGGTTCACGCCTTCTTCCTTTTTGATGTTATAAAACTTGCTTAGAGGCGGCATTGAACCACGGATCTCTTGTTTTAATTTAAATAGTGTAAAATATTCCGAATTGTAGGGGCGATTCGGAATAAGAATAAAGTAAGGAATAAAATAAGGGAGCGAACCTTAAAAAATTGCCATTTGCTTTCTTCAAATGAAGAGCAAAAGATTTATAATTAAAAAATGAAAAACAAAAGATTATAATTTTAAAAAATGAAGTAAAATTAGAAAAAGTTGCCCAATTTATATAAAAAATTAAAGTTTTTTTTAATATTGCTAACTTTTAACAAAACTATAAAATTTCTACTTTTTTGCCAAACTTCAAATGAAACTTCAGGTTAAACAGAAGATATATTAGGTTTTCTATTAGCAGTTTTAAACTGCAACAATAACGCACAAAGTGAATTTTCCAAATCATTTCTTAGGGGTTGTCCATAAAGTACGTACGCTTTTTTTTCGTCTAAACGCCCTCCCCCCTCGCACCTACGCCTATTTTCGTTTACCCCAACCCTAGAAGTACCTAAGCTTTTAACCTATTTATCTCACATTTTATGATGTTTTTTAAAATTTAGTTTCTCCAAGCAATTACGTAATTTATGGACGATCCCTTAGTTTAAAATTAATATGAGCTGTTGTTATGAGATTTCTTGCTATCCGTATAAAACTAAAGAAAACGTGAAAAAATGACAAACTTATTATACTTACAAAAAAACACCACAAACTAAAAATCGCCAAGTTAAAACGAAAATCACAATTTTAATGTCAATAGTGTTAAATAGAACTTGTACATTCATAAACCAGGGTATTAAATTCGTTTGTATCAGTTATAAATCAAAATAAAAAATCGAACCGACTACTTTGGATATTAAGTTGCATGCAAAAAAACGATATCGACTACTTTGTTAATTTTCATAGGAAGATATCTATTGTATCATTAAAGTTATCAATATTTCAATGAATAATATTAGATAGCAAATCGCAGCTTTTTTTAAATATTTATAGAAAATTAGGCGTCTTATCTTTTAATTAAAAAAAAAACTAAATATTTAATGTTACAATTGCTAATAGAAATTTTATAAAAAACGTTAAGTTTATCATTTAAACTTACAACATACATAATAATAACCTAAACTAATTTTAAATAAATTTTTTATTAAATTTTTAAATTATAAGTCACAATAATCTACTAAACAAACTCCTATATTACTAAGTAAACCTCTAAAAAAACTCTCCACAAGCGAGTCGCTACAAAACTCTCCATAATAGTGAGCATCTTCAAGGTTGATTCAATGGTTAATAATTAAAAATTATCATTTTAATTTTATAGACTGTTTTGAAATCGTCTCTATAGATACAAGACAAAAGTTAACAAATATTTAACATATTTGTTAGAGCATATTGAAGAAATGGAAATATAAAACTTGTTAAAGAAATAGGACATATTAAAGAAATGAAAATATAAATTAAATACATAACAATATATGCGTATGCATATATGCGTATGCATATATGCAATATATGCGTATGGATAGTATGCGTCTTGTCAAAGAGAGGGTCCACAAAAGAAAAAATATTTTACCATCGATTTTCCCAGATGCTCTATAATTTTTTATTCTTCTCCGAATGCAGAATTTTAAAAATAAGCTTTTATTTTAAGAATGCCAACGACTTATCAATTGAATTCAACTGATAAAGCATTTTTATCTATGCGCTGAACGCAAAACCTGTTTTATTTAATATCTATCAAAATTAATAATAACTATAAACAGTTGTAGAAGTCTTCATAAATTTAATCCTCAAAGGATTTCTTTGAAAAACAAACATTTATGAAAAATATTATAATTATATTATAATATATAGACAACACTATATTTACTATATATATACTATACTATTTAACGCTATATTTGATAAAATAGATCTTAATAACAAAAACACCAAATTTCTGTCATGGCTAAATGATAAACTCATACCGACCCAGTGTACGCCTATAAGACATATTAATAACGTCTTAAACATATCTTGTGCTCATTGGGTACCAAGCAACCTTTAAAAAAAACTTATAATAATACACATTAAAAGGGGCGAATCTTGACTTTTATTTAGAAATCTTATAAATGCCTGATGAATTATGCAGATGTGGCGCAGTGGTTAGAATTTTTGGATTTGAATTAAGAGGTCCAAGGTTCGATGCAGGACTTGGACAGACAAGCAACATTGGTAAGGGAGGGGGCTTGAAGTTTCTAGATAAATATTCTTCCGCAGTTAATGACTTCTTGGAGCACCGTCGTCGGAATATAACGGAATAACGGAAAATTTTTTTTTTGTGCTCTCAAGGATGCTGAATCTAAATATCACACTTAAAAAATTTCCAGTTTTTTTTTTTTTTTTTTAATTTGCATTCACTCCCAACAAGGCTGCAAGCAACCATTATTAAGTTGGGAGTTACTAGGAAAAAAAAAAAGAACAGAGTTATAGAGCAAGGAAACGGTTGACAGAAGACTTGAAAAGTTGAAGGTTGTATGAGTCAGGAAAACATGAAGATGGGAGAGAGTTCCAAAGGATTGAAGTGCGGGGAAAAAAACTAGATGAATAAAAGTTTTTAGAGCATGCAGGGAAAGATACAGTAAACGAATGAGACTTAGCTGAATGACGAGTAAAACGAGAATGAATTTTAGTTGATGGAACTAGAGATGATAACTCCTTTGAGCAGTGACCATGATAGTATCTGTAGAAAAGAGAAAGAGATGCAACTTTACGACGATGGGAAAGAGGTTCAAGCTTAGCAGATAGTCCAGGTCCAACAACATTTACAATGCGTTTTTGGACTTTGTCAAGAAGAGAAAGTGAATCGTTAGAAGAACCAGCCCAAATATGACAACAGTATTCCATACAGGGACGAATAAGAGATTTGTAGAGGTAGAGAATGGAATCAGAAGTAAGGAAATGGCGAGCACGATAAAGAGAAGCAACCTTAGCAGAAGCTAATTTAGCAATCGATTGTATATATGGTTTCCATGAAAGGTCAGTAGTAAGCGATAATCCAAGAAGACGTAAAGAGGAGGATTCAGTAAGAGGATTGCCATTCATTAATATAGGAATGTTGACCATATTACGGTAGTTGTTTGCAGTAAGCAATTGGGTTTTTTTAGAGTTGAAATTCACAAGCCACTGTGAACTCCAATCTATTACTGAAGTGAGATCAGATTCAAGATCAGTTGCTTGTTCTAGGCGATCGAAAAGAGAAGACTTTTTGTCAAGACAGGAGTATAAAGTTGAGTCATCAGCAAAAAGAGCTACTTTAGATGAAAGGTTGTCAGGAAGATCGTTTATGTAGATAAAAAACAAAACAGGGCCCAGGATGGAACCTTGGGGAACCCCAGAAGTTACTGGAAATAAAGAAGAGTGTTGGCCTTCAAGGATGACTTTAATAAACCGGTTAGAAAGAAATGATTTGATAATCTCAAAAACTTTCCCAGAAACACCATATGAAGCAAGCTTATGGAGAAGACCAGCATGCCAAACTTTGTCGAAAGCTTTAGATATGTCGAGAGCAATAGCCCTAGCCTCACCGCCTCCATCTAATGCACGGTAAAATCTTTCAGTTACAGCAGTTAGCAAGTCGGCCGTAGAGCGAGAGGATCAAAAACCGTATTGATTGTCTGACAGCAGTTTATTTGACTCAAGATGAGATGTGAGGAATTTGTTGATCAAAGACTCAAAGACCTTGCTAATAACAGAAAGAAGACTGATCGGACGATAATTGGAGGGGTCAGAATTTTCTCCAGAGTTTTTGAATATTGGAACCACAGATGCCATTTTCCAACAAGCAGGAAAACAAGACTCAGTCAAACACTTGTTAAATAGTTTAGAGAGAATTGAAGAAAGTTCTGGAGAACAATTCTGCAAGACTGTGACAGGAAAGTTGTATGGACCACAAGCTGTAGACGAGTTTAATTGAGATATGACTTTAGCAACAGAAGCCGGAGTGATTTGAATGTCTAACAATGGGTCAACCTGTTTGACTGGAATGGAAGGAAGAGAATGTCCATAAAATTCAAGAGTGGAATTAGAAGAAAAGTTCTTTGCAAACAGTTCTGCCTTATCCCTAGGAGAGGTAACAAGATCAGTCCCATGAATGAGAGATGGAATGTTAGATCTACCCTTGTTAACAATGCTGTTGAAGATTTGTTGACGTTTTGGGTGCTTATATCAAATTGATAAAAAACAGCGGCTTACAACGACTTTCATAACGAATATAAGCAAGATTTGCAAATCACAAAACATAATATTTGGTTTATTCATTCATGGTCAAAAATAAATTTACAATTTTTTATTTGACAAAGAGCGACACAGGCCTCTCTGTTATGAAAATACAGTTTTTCAATTTTACCTTAAGTGGAAATGCCGTAGCAGAGAAAGTTCGTGTTTAAAATTGTTCAAGTTCTTTTTGTCTACTGCATTTTGGGTTAAAGAATTCCATAATCTTACAATACGGTTGGTGAAGAAGTTGCTTCTTTCAGCGCAGTTTCGGACAAGTTGTGCTCTTAGTGCTTTAGTGTGTCCACGCGGCAGAAAACTGTAAAACTTCCGTGTTAAGTTGAAGTTGAGGGATGTGAAAGTTAACTTTATCAATTTTGGTCATGATTTTATATTATTCGATAAGGTCTCCATTTTCTCGTCGTTCAGTTAGTGTTGTCAGGTTAAGGCTTGATAGTCTTTGAGCATACGAAAGGTGTTTAAGGGAGGTAATATGTTTTGTGGCTTGGTGTTGAACTTGCTCAAGTTTGACAGTTTGTACTGCGAATTCTAGGTGTGGGCGAACGTACGAAATATACAGTGTGCGCCATAATGCAGAACCTCAACGTCAAAAAGCTTTCTTGAGCCTGCCAAGCATTCGGTTACCAGCTGATGCAGCCGCACAGACTTGTTTTTTAATTTTTAGATTGCTCGTTATAAAAACGCCTTGTTCTCTTTCAGATGACGTGCATGATAGCTGGTGCAGTTGGCCGTCCAGGTTAATCATTGTATAAATTGCAGTCGATTTTTTTTTGTTGCTGCGCCCGGTGTGCATGACTTTGCACTTTTCGACATTAAATGACATGAATCATGTGTGCAACCACATCACTGCTTCGTCAATATCGGCTTCAGGTTTTAGGATCTCATGGTTTAATTCTATAGTTCCGATTATTTTACAGTCATCTGCATACATTTTAAAGTGGTGTTGTATTTTGTCTGGCAAATCATTAATGTAAATAAGGAACAAGAGTGGTCCAAGAACAGATCCTTGTGGCACACCGCTAGAGACAGTTTTCCAATTAGACTTATTGTTACCAATGGTTACACGTTGTAGCCAGTCGGTTAGCCAGCTTTTGATCCAATCGTGCAAGTTGTCGGACACTCTATATGATTTTAGCTTGTGCAGCAGACGACGGTGTGGAACTTTTTCGCATGTTTTAGCAAAGTCTGTGAATATGTTATCGGTTGGGTAACCTTTGTGGTCAGCTTCAGAAAGGATGTCGCAAGTTTCGAGTAGGTTTGTGACGCAACCTTTTCCTTTTCGGAACCCGTGTTGAGCAGAGCTGATGAGTTTTTTTTTCATTTAAGTGTTCAGTAATGTGTTTGTGTAAAAAGCTTTCCATTACCTTGCAAGGGACAGAAGTGCATGAGATAGGTCAATAGTTTGAGGAGTTCAACTTGCAGCCTTTTTTAAAAATAGGAGTAATTTCGGCTTTTTTCCATTGAGACGGTACTTCTCCAGCTTTAAGCGATTCAGAGAAGATAATCCTCAGTGGGATAGCAAAACCTGCAGCACAGTATTTCAGGACGCGTGGATGAATACCGTAGAAGCCCATTGATTTGGATTTATTCAGGTCCAAAAGTTTTTCTTTGACGGATTCGTATGATGCGAGTGTGGTCGGT